TCATAATGAATCACTGAGCAACAGATGCTCAGGGAAAAGAAAGCTTAAAAGTACTCATAACATTTCTTGTTGGCTTTATTTCTGTGCTTTAGATTCAGGCCCCAACCTAAAAAAGCACTTAAGCACTTGAGAATGCATTCCCACCAAATCCATGGGACTTCTCACATACCTATAGAGTTAGGTGCATTTCCATACTGTCCTGGAATTGGGAATTTACTAGAGGAGGTTACAGAAAACAAGTAGTGGTAAATCAGCTATTTGACATTTTAATAAAAATAAATAAATGAAAAGCAGTAGGCACTGAATAGGTCCATTATTTAATTTTATAGAATATGTACAATATTCACATTTTACACTAGTAAAAAACACAAGAGGCACAATTGATCATTAGATTTTTTTTATTTTAATAAGGGTTTCATGCTTTAGTTTAGTTAATTTTTAAATTATTTGAAATATAGCTTAGTCATTTTTAAGAAGAATTTCAAAACTCCACTGATCGTAAAACACATTTCTGTCACAAAAACACACTTAGTGATGTTAAACTAACTTGTTCTTGAAGTTTTTGAACTGCATTTGTAATCAAGATTAGCGACATGCTAGTTAATCAGACACAGTATTCACGCACACTTGTATTCCCCTGTAACTTAGTACCATTTGACAGCACAAGCTATGTCACAGCCAAAGGCAGACTAATGTTTCAGAGGAAGGGGCAATACGGAGGAACGGCATACTGTTTGTATAACAGCCATCGCCACCAAGTTTCCATTTGCAAAACTCCCAAAATCTAAGAGTCAACTACACAACTGCCACACGTAAAAACCACACTTAAACAAGAACAGAAATAGTAAACATCAAACTTCATGCACTATGAAAGCCCTCAGCCCTCTCTGCCATGACAACTCTTCCATCTTTGGAAAAGTACCCCAGAAAGTGAAAACCACTAAAAAAAACAGCAGAAATAACAAGTAAAATGGATCCACGACAACTGCAGACAGCTGCTTTTCAACAAGCAAATACCTCATACCTAGGAACCTGAACTCTCCTTAAAAAGTATAATTAGAAATTAAAATACTAAAAGAAAATCATCTAGAACAATTTATGGTGACCAGAATCCTATCCAATACAAATCAATAGAGATTTATACATTTTTATCTTGGAGAGACTTTTTAATGCCATCATCTTTCAAGTTAATGGCAACAGGCTGGCAGCAAGACAAAAACCACTTTTTTTAAAGGAATACATCTCTAATGAATATTTCATTCTTTGCTGGGGTAGATACTAATAGAATAAACGTAGGCATACAAACAGCAATAGAAAGGCTATCAGCTAGCAAAAAACCAAATATATAGATTTTTTAAAACTGGTAATAGCACTATCAACCATTAGAAAAACAAGGCAAGTAGCTGCATGAGAAACTCCACAATCCACTGGGAAAGAGAAAGCTAAGGAACACAACAGCACCTTTCCACAATCTTTACTGACCTTCCACATACCAAGCTCTATCATGTGTTGTCTTTTAGTACAAATAACTCTATTAGTAGGTACCCAAAGAACAAAAAAGGAAACTCAGATAAAATTGAAAGGGAAACAGGAATTAGTTTGGCATCTGGGCTATGCTGCCTGTGACATAAGTCATTTTGAAAACGGTATTAAAACCTAAAATTGGGATACAATATTTGTACTCTTCAGTGGTGTACCTCTTCATTTTCTTCAGTGCACTAACGCTAGCAATCCCAATGGTTCCGACTGTTTCAGCGTTCTATTGCCCCACAGTGTTCCAAACATACACTTAGAAGCGGATATGCGTTTCCTTCAAAGTTTGGACTCTAGCCTATTATAGAAAATATATTCTGGTTCTTTAAATTTTCAACTTTTTTTTGTTTTTAAAGCTTAAAACTGGTTAAAGTTCCATTTAATAAACGTGTGCAAAATATGATATACTTGAACATAAAAAGTGAATGTTTCATAGCTATTTAGGGTTTTCATTAGATACCAGCAGTTCACCACTCTCATCACTTTCTCCTTTGAAAAGTATGTTTTTAATTTAGTTTGGTCCTTATTTGAAGCACAAATGCCCTCTTACAGTCATTTATGTGGACATTGCTAGCTTTTCCACAAAGAAATGAGATAAATATATAACAGTCAAATGATTACACAACTATTCTAGTAGGATTTCCCCTGCCAATCATTTTTATGAACATACAAACTCAGCTGATCCCTCAAACTCTGTTTTGTTAACTGCTTTCTCTTTTGGGGGGTTGTTAACTTAGAATGATCTCCCGCCAGCTATTTTTCATCATCCTTCTAGGAAGCCGTTAAGGCATACAGTCAGGCTCCATTTTGTTTTTCCTACAGAAGATTTTTCCCTTAGAGCTTATTTCTACTAGTAGCAAGCAGATCAGAAAGTAGACTATTTTAAATATAGTCATCTTAATGTATTGCACAGTGCCAGACAGTTTTTACATGTCTAACAAAAGCAGCATTTCCTCAAACAGCATTACATGGAAATATTTTAGTTTCTTAATCACAATCAATGTACCTTCCCCTTAACCGTTTTCTAGATGTTCTTGCATTTATCTGGAACAGTTTCCTTCCAAGTTACTGTAACATACACTACATTTCAGTATTTTGTTTGCAATGACAATAGAAACATACCTTTCGGTCAGCAATGCATGTTCTACAGGCACACACAAATAAGGACACTATTATTCTTGCATCAATCAATATTTTTTCTATAGGATAGAATTAACAAGTATGCTTTTTCTATTTAGACTGTCCAGAGGTTATCTTTAATTACCTTCCCCTTTTTCACAAAGTATCATTTATAGCCTTTTGAACGTTCCACACAGAGATAAGGAAATAAACTTTTCTTTATTTTTCAGGGCAGAGCATTAGAGAAAGTGGTTGGTCAAACATATTTGTTAACAATAGAGATTGGTTACTACTTACATTGTACTGCATATGATGCCAGGACAACAGCAGAATTAAGAGGGCATGACAACCTGCAAAGGGGGGAAATATTTTTATTTAGACTCAGACAGCATAAAAGCAAGTGTTAGCAATCTTCCTGCAACTAGTAAAGTTCATCAAGACCTATGTTTCTCTTTGAGATGTCTCCTTCTTACAAAGTTTGGTTGTCATCGCATAGTAGCATGATAAAAGCTAGTGGTGGCATAACAGCTCCTTAGCTGAATGGAAATAACTGGTCCAAAAAGGACATGCTCATATCCTTGCAGGATGCTTATTCTGAAAAGAGGATTCTTCTGGGGCTCTGGATGTGATTTTAATAGCTGCTGTTTGGTATATTCAAAACTAGATACAGACACTAAGTTCAGCCAAAATGACAAACACAAAGACAGCTCTGATCTAAAGTCCAAAAGTGACTCCACAGAAGAAAACCAACACGTACTAAGAAATCCTAAACGCAACTTATATTTGGCAGCAAATATTTAGACCACCTTTTCCCCCCTTTTTTAATACACAAACACACAGGCATCACAGGCAAAAGAGTCATTGAGTGTATGCCCACCGTATGCATCACATAATCCAAGACTGCAAAAACCAACAGCATGAACTTGCAGAAGACAATGGGTCCCTCATGTTTAGACAGCTGCATCTGGCACACCATTCCTTGCATAAGGGAGATCTCTAACATTGACACCTTACCTGCAGAAACACAGCATCTGCTACAATTCATTCACAACTGATGCCTAAACTTTTCTTAACAAGTAAGCTAAGTGAGAATTTGTAACACCACTGGTTTTCTTTTAAAGCATTATTTCAAGAGGTAAATTTTTATAGCAACAATCGATACCTTCACAAAAAGTTCTTTTTTTTTTTTTAAACAAAGAGAATTAAGGAGAAAGTGAAAATTCTTCTTACCTTCCTTCCAAAATATCAGTCTTCAGCTGCAAGAAGAATAAGTGCCTAGGAAAAATTTTGGGAAAAAAAAAAAATGCTGATTTACTTTAACATTTAAAGGGCATGGTTTAAATGGTTATATGTAGTAATTTCATTCTATTACAGGGATAGATTTCCTCACAAATGATACAAGCAGGTGAATAAAGCTTACTGGCATATACAAACACGTGATCATATACCCATTCTCTTTCACAACAGTTCTGGAGACGTTTTGCAGTCTGTACTACAAATTCAGGACCATAGTATCAGTGTCAAATAATAATTTTTTTTTTCTCATGTCCCTGTGTTATAGAACGTACCTAAAAAGTAACTCAGTCCCATAAATGATGCTGCAGAACAAAAACCATTACAGAACTGGGCTCCCTTTCTCCCAGGAATATTAATCTTGAATGTATTTTTTTTTGTTTGTTTAAAACTGACAGTCCATCTTGGGACTGTTTTTGATGACACATTTCTCAAGTAGCAGATGCTGACAAAAGCTCTTGCAACAATCCTCTAGGAGCAGTTTAGTTTAACTCACATTAGAGCATGTGACAACTTGATAGCAATACGGGAGAGATGAGATGTGAAGAACTAAGAATTGTTCTTTGAAAAATTTTAGTTTAAAACTGCAGCACAGCTTACCACTGCATGATTAGCAAAATACTAAAACAGGTCAACAACTAAGTTTTCTATAAGAAAATTATTTAACATGTTCCACTCTTTACACCTCCAGTCACTGACATTTTTAACTGTTAACATTCAGCCAAACAATGAAGAACGTTACAAGAAATACCAGATTCATGGGTCTCTGAATTATTTCTAAATACACACACTGAACAAAAATAGTCTTGCAACAAGTTAATTGAAGATGTAATTGATGTTGTAATTGAAGATGTAATTGATGTTGTAAAATCATAATTCTAATGGTACCAGTAACGGGCAACATAGAGAATGAGAACTTATCTGCTCTCCCTGAAACAACCCTCCCCCCGCCAGCCTACTACACGTGTTCAAAATACTGATTTACTCTTGATACAACACTCCTAATGTGGACTAAGGAGACACAGATAGCTCAGTCATTCAACTTTCCTATTTTTAATATCATTGTATCTGGATAACTATAGGGTTCAGAAAATAAAAGAAAAGAAAAAGAGAAAACCACAATATAGAAATGCTTCAGTTGCTGAAGGGTTCAAAGAAAGGAATTGAAGGTGCAATAAAAAAAACTAACATCTTTGTATTAGCTCATGTTCTATTTGTATCTTTAAAGTGTGGACTGTGTATAGCAGAAACCATTCATTCCACACATCGCATCAAACAGCTAATTCCAAACAACTTTAATACAAAAAATTATAGAGAGTTATATTCAGAATAAAACATTGTTCACCAAATTGGGGCGGGGGCGAGAGGAGTGAACTCTACACATTCTTAGTTTATAGAGGCAAAGATCAAGCATAGAAATTACCTGGTTTGTTCTTGCTGAAGTGTGTTGGGATCAGGTATAAAAAACCTTACGCGAAAACAAAGGGTGCAGGGAAAACCTCCTGCAATGTTTTAGAAGACCAAATCAATTTTCTCTTTAAAAAGGAAAGAATCAGATGTTTTTATTGTCTATATTTACAGAAGGATTACATGAACAAACAACCACGTAGAAATCTCCTATGCTTTGTTCTTGAAATAGAAGGAAACCATGAGAGGTCTTTCCCAATCCCCCATGCCAACTATGAGAAGAAAATATTCTTAAATACAGTGGTATTTTCCTTTAAAGTACTTTGTATATGCTACTTCATATAAAGGCACTACTTAATTAACATCTGTGCTCCCTGCAATAATTAGAAAGAGAAGCACATTTATTAAGTGCCTCAATCAGGACAATGCTTAGTCCTAACTTACATACAAATGCAAAAATTAACAGCAGTTCACCACATTAAAAATATATGGAGTTATTTCAACTCATACACAATCTACAGCATGCTACAGAAATAAGAGAGCCTTAAAACATAATTAAAAAGGTTTACAGCAGAAATCATGACTGTGCAACTCAGCCATATCAGGCTATATTTCCTGGGCAACTACCTGGGCAGTATCATAGTGGCTGGCTGGCCCAGCCTGTCCTTAAGCTCTCCTTTTTCTTAGTAAGCATTCTGTGTTACCTGAAGATGTTTACAAAAATAAACATACCAAAACAACAGACACTTGAAAATACATATTGTTTTTAAACCACGTAAAAGTGGCTTCACGTCCCTTGATCAAAACCCCTCTTCCTTATTTTCTACAGAAGAATGAGTTTATTGGCACCATAAAACGGCTACCGCTTTCAGAGCCATATTGTCAAACACTGCTCAGAGGCCAGGTTTAGATGCTATTATGGCATCAATGTTAGTGACCTACCTAGGTCTTATGAGCATTCTGGTAGCAGTACGAAATGCCAAAAGCGCTGATGAAAAGATTCACGAGAGCAATGACTTGCTCTCAAAGAAAGTGTACCATCTGGACACTAACATCTAACAGTTGTGTTTATTCTAGTCACAAGACCATAGAAAAGCTGGACTACAGCTCAGCTATAACCAAGGTATTAAAAACAGGTCTTACCTTTTAACTGTTTTCTAATAGGTTTGTTTGGTTCAAGCCATCGCTGTGAAATGAAAAACTATTAGATGGATTAAAAATATTTATAAACA